CACCTCAGCCTCCCAAAGGCGCAGGATTACAGGCTGAGCCACCGAGCCTGGCTCAGCCTTTCACGTATAGCTGGAACCAATGGCGCGCGCCAGCACAGCTGGCTCATTTTTGGATTTATTGTAGAGTTAAGGTCTTGCCAAGTTGCTGGGCTGTTCTCAACCCCCTGGGCTCAGGCCATTCTCTCACCTCAGCCTCCCAAAGCGCTAAGATGACAGGCGTGAGCTACTGTGTATGGCCAGCCTCGTTTGTTGGGGGTGATGGGAAAAGATTCTTTTTCCACAAGCTCCTCTGGATTTTCCTCTGGGGACTGTCCCTGGGTTCCTCTCCTGAAGAGATGGGCTGGTAACTCAGAGCGGGGGCAGTGGGCAGTCCCCTAGGTTTATCTTCCTCAGGAAACGGGTCCCTGAGTTGGTGGGGAAACGGCCTGCTCCTGAGGCTGAACAAGGAACCTCGGGCTGCGAGTCATCCTCCATTCCCTTGGTGTGGCTGCCTCCCAGGCTAGGAGCTGCAGGGTCTGTGATCTCCACCATGTCACCTGTGACCTCAGGGCGGGGCTGGGGATGTGGCCACACCGAACGGGAGGTGGCCACACCGAAAGGTACGTGGCCACACCGAATGGGACATCAACACATTCTGGGTACTGGGGAGCCAGGGCCAGCTTGCTATGTCGCCCAGGCTGCACTGCGGCGGCACGATCATAGCTCACTGGCCTTGGACTCCCGGGCTCAAGCGACCTCCTGCCTCAGCCTCCAGAGCAGCTGGGACAGCAAGCAGGAGCCACCATGCCTGCTAAACCCAGTGTCTTGCAAATCCAGCCTGGACCGGCTGCCTCCTCAAAGCTCCTTTGATGCATATTCTCTTCCCTTCAGCCTGGCCCAGGGCACACCTGGCCCTCCCCAGGGCCTCCAGTCCCTCCTCCCCGGAGCCACTGGCCAGGGCCCTCCCTCTCAGGCCCTACTCAGCAAGAGACAGAACGGGTGTCCTGGGAAGACAGCTTGGAGCTCTGTGCCTGCGGAGGTCAGGCTGGGCTGGGCCGGTGGGCTGGAGTCCTATCTTGGAGAAGGGGTTAGAAGTCAGTCTGGAGCCAGGTACAGTGACTCACGCCTGTCGTCCCAGCACGTGGGGAGGTGGAGGCGACAGGATTGCCTGACTCCAGGGATTTGAGACCAGCCTGGGCAGCTTGGCGAGACCCCGTCTCTACAATAAATAGAATAATTAGCCGGGTGTGGTGGCACGTGCCTGCAGTTCCAGCTACTTGGAAAGCAGAGGAGGAAGGATGGCCTGAGCCCAGCAGTTTGAGACTCCTGCCTGGGAGACAGAGTAAGACTCAGATGCAAAAAAAAAGTCAGGTTGGACTGGCTAAGGGTTCACAAGGGGCTGGGGGTGCACTGGGCTAGAGGGGCATCCGAGGAAAGGGGCTGGGACTTAGGTAGGATTGGGGTGGGTCAGGAAACAGGAGGAAGGGGCTGGGTCGGGCTGAGCTGGGGGTGCAGGGAGAGGACAGACGCTTGCAGCTGGTCTCAGGCCCTGGCTGTGGCGGCGGTCAGGCTGAGACAGGTCCCCGCGGCACTGAGTGGGGCAGCCCAACCCGAAAGGAAGGGGCACAAGGGCTTCAGAGGGGCCCCCCCAGCAATTCCTCTTTGCAGGGGCCTTCCCTGGGGGCTGCTGGGGGCAGGCCCGGAGGAGCCAGATCTGGGCTCCAGAGGAAGTCACTGGCCACTGCATTTCCTGAGTTCAAACAGTGGGTTCGCCTGTCTCTGGGATGCACCCCTTCCCTTAAGCAGGCAGGGCAGGGTCCCAGGCAGAGCAGTCCACCCCTTCCCTGACCACTGCCCGTATACAAGCCACACACAGCCCAGCCCAGGGAGCCCCCTCACGCGAGACGGTCACGCTCCCAGGCCGCACACAACACGAACTCATGGCCGCCACACACTGCAGTCAGGCTTTGCCTGCCGGGCTCAACACCACGTTCCCAGCACCCAGCGAGGCCTGTCCCCACGAGGGCTCAGTGGATGCTAGCGGACGGATTCAACACACACACACACGCAGACACGTGTCTATCAGCCCCCCCACTTCCACCCAGGCTGTTAGCGCGTGCGCGCGCGCGCACACACACACGCTGGCTCCAGCTCCAAGGCCAGAGGTGCGCCCACTGCCAGACGCAGAAACACTGCAGCGCGTGTGCTCCCCGGCCCTCCCCGGGTGGCTGGTGGTAGCGGCTGGCAGGAAAATGTCCTTCGGTCTGGCCCGGTCTACAGGAGGCCCAGCGGAGGCAGGTGCAGGCTTGGAGTCCCTGGGTGCAGGGCTGTGAAAGGAAGCTGGACTGGCGCAGAGCAAGGCCAAGGTGGCTCATGGACTGGAGTGGAGGGGGCCGGCCACGCGTCCTCGCCGGTGTCTCCCTGTCCAGACCCAGAGTCCTGCGGGGAGGGGGCTGGGCCATGGCTGCCCCTGCCGGGATGAGAATGAGGGAGGCCGTGGGGGAGCTCCCTGGCCCAGGACCCCACCTCCTACCACAGCGGGGACCCCCTGAGAAAGGCTCTCAGGGACTTTCAACGGCAGGGATGGAGCTTGAGGGGAGACAGGAAGGTGCCCTTTCTCCTACCTTCCCGGGTGCTCCAGGCTGCCCCCCACGAGCCCACCTAGGCAGCAAGGAGACAGTCCCCCACTCTCCAAGCTCTACCCAGTGGCCAGGGGAGGCTGCTTGTCCCGGACGGCCTCTCCAGCCCCCTCCTAGGCAAGGACCCCTCCCAGGACCTCCCTCCGTGGCCAAAGCCAGGGCTGCGAGGCCAGCCGTCTGGTAGCCCCATGGCAGCTCGGGTGAGCAGTCACCGTCAAGGGGCAGGAGCCCCGAGACTGGGGCGGGCAAGACTCCCTCAGCTTTTGTCTTTGAGAGGGGAGGCCCTGTCGCCCAGGCATGGTCACAGCTTATGGCAACCTCGAACTCCTGGCCTCAAGTGATCCTCCTGCCTCCGCCTCCTGAGTAGCTGGGACTACAGGCACATGCCATCACCCCGGCTCCTTTTTTTGGGCTTTTTAAGGTCCCACTAGATCGCCGGGGCTGGTCCTGGACTCCTGGCCTCAAGCGGTCGTCCCACCTCAGCCTCCCCCCCAAGTGGCTGGAGCTACAAGCACGAGCTACCATCCTTGGCCCTCCCTCAACTTCGGGGAAACATCTGGGGTGAGAGGCGCGACTCGGGGGCAGAGTCAGGACAGCAAGGGCAGGCGAAAGGGGGGGGGTTGGCTCCCTCCCCATCCCCTCCCCCCAGCCAGTCTGAGGACAGCCAGGATGGGGACAAGACGCTCAGGCCAAGCCGCTTCGGGTGTCTGTGACCACCCAGGACACTCTCAAACCCAAAAGTCTCTTTATTGATCGGTACCATACATGACTCAAATGGCCAAAAAAAGAGGCATTACAGTTGGGGTTCCCCACTCCTCCCGTCAGCTCCTGACACGGACCCCGAGCGGCAGCTGGGGTGAAGGAGACAGGGCGTGGGGGCGGGATCCAGGGGCAAGAGTTGGGGGAGGCGGCGCTGACGCTTCCTGGGGCTGACCACAGGTCTCCCTGGGCCTCCTGGCCTGGGCCTCCACACGCCCAGCTGTACGGTGCTAAGGCGCCCGCTGCCCCCTCTTCCCTTCTAAGGAGGGGGAAGAGACCTTGGCAGGCGAAGACCCTCTCCCCGCCTGGGCTGGGGCACCGGGCGGGCTTCTCCGGGGGCCTGGGGCTGGGATGGCCCGTGGCTCCTCCCGGCCTGTGGAGGGCAGGCCAGGACTCGATGTGCAGCCGAGGGCTGGGGGGCGTTCTGGAGGAGCGGGGTGCCCTCTCCCGCCCCCGCCCCCCACAGAAGGAAACAGCGGCCACGGGGCTGCCCCCTCCCGAGGGAGGGCCTCCCGCCGTGGCGGACTCGGCCGAGCGGGGGTCTGAAGCGCACACACCAGGTGAGAGCAGGAGGGCCCCCAGCACGGGAAGGCCGCCAGGCAGGGGCCAGCGTGGCGCTGGGGACGGGCGAGACGCCAGGCTCTCCGGGTCCCCAGCTCCCCAGCCGTGAAGGGCGTGCACAACGGCCCACTCCCC